AATTAGGATCACTTTGTGTCAAATAAACAATATTCATGTTTTTGTATTCAAAATTCCATGAAAGTTTTAAACACACTCAAAATTAATAAAATTATCAATTAAACTATACGAGTCCATTAGGTTAGCTAACCACTCTGTAGACAAACGCGTTTTCTTAAAGCATTGTATCCAATCCCCGTCAGTTGGTATGCAGAATATTCTAACTGTAAACGAATTATTTAATTACTTATATTTTCATTAACGTTAAAACAAACCCGGCCACGTCGTGTAGATTATCTTTATAGCTCCAGCGATAAAATTAATTTGATGATGACACATAAAACATATTGTTAAACAAAAAAAAAACAAATAATTGCTGCCTGCAATAATGATGTCATTGAACTAATGACAGTTTGTACTATCAATGGCAACACAGTTATGGTCAGTAAGTTTATTTGTATTATTATTAAATATTAACTCATAAAGTACAAATATACAAAACTGTAACATTATATTATAATGCCTTGTACTCAGCAAAGAAGTAATCAAGAAGGCGAGTGACAGTGTGACCACTTAGTACAAATAAAAATACTTTTTTTATAAGTCGTTAAACACTGCACAGTATTATCCTCATCAATTACTAAATTCAAATTGTCATATGATAATGATTATAGCTGACGAGTCATGTGTTTTGTATCAGGTCATGTAATTTCTCCTTACTTTTCAATATTTTACTTATTGCGACCTCAGGGGAAGTGTGTAGTGTTAAGGTTGTATTTAAGGTGGTCACACTGTCGTTCGCCTTCTTGATTACTTCGATGCTGAGCATAGTATGCATTATACAGGGTGAACCTTAGTAAAAAATATATGAAATATGAGCACCACGAAGCCACGTGCCAAAAGAAAGTTTGGTGGTGGTCAGCAAAACAGCTGTTATAGGGATGTCCAATTATTATAAAACAAAAATATCGATTACAGTTTTCATGAAAACAACCGTCACTCGATGAGCTAATGTTAAAGTTTGCGTGCCAACCCCTTGGTCAGTTTCGACCTTGGTCCTTACACAAGGTCCCCCGGGTGTTCCAACAAGGCTAAAATAAAGTAGCACGCTACCATTAATGCGCTGCAAAAATTCGACTAATAATAATCATACACATAATGATAATTGATGTTGTTGCGACTTTATGTAATGTGTTACGTATACATTTTTGCTATAACTATGTCTACTTTGGGAAATCCTGGAACAAATCACAGTCTGAGTATAATGACTTGATGAGTCTAATCATTTTTTTTTATGTAGCAACCGCCAAGTAATATGTAAGTACATAAATAAAATAAACATTTTTTTTTCAAGGGGGGTCTGTACAACAAGTCGGTAACTTTGCATATAATATTATCATTGGTTAGTAATGTATTATCAATATGAGAATTATGTCTTTTTTTCAAATGATTGCTACCCTATTGAACGGGTGGCATCAGAAATAACAAGATTGTGAGTTCATAAAAACGTTATTAAAATACAGTAAAACATCATTAAAATTGACGAAAACGGTCAGTATTACTTTTGCCAGCCAAGGTAGTTTACAAGCATATTATGTTTAAAAAAGAGAAAAATATTATACTATTCTTTTGGTACGACACTACATATGTTATGTATACATATACATTAATCGTTTGTGAAACCCAACACTCGTAGTTAGCACTTGGCCATAATATAGAAAATCCATAACAATATTAATGCATCTAATAAACATGTGCAATACGGACACGCATTACCGGTTTACGGTTTTAAATCACAATATTGTATACAGCAGAAAAACACAAAATACAATACTCAAAAATATAATGATACATATTTTAAAAATTTTTCTCAATACATTTTCAAAGCATCTCCCAAGACTATCCCGTTAACGGATCAGTTATGGATTTTGTAAAACAGTATTTAAATACTTTTAAATGGATTTCTCAACAGCGCAGTACTGGCTATTATTACCACTGAAATATTTTATTCGAAAAAAAAACGTTGCTCGACTCCATCCTAGCGCATCTTTGGTGTGTCAACAAGCAGCAAACATAATTTTGGTAACCATTCAGGCATTCAAAAATAAACGGTCTTAGCGGGGGGAAATTAACGACCGAACGCCGATGGTCATATTTGGTTAAATTAGTTTATAATTATTTGTTTCTATAAATAAGCACAACGTGTACACTGTAATAATTAGTCTCCCGTGAATTTTAAACTGTACACATAAATACAGTAGTCTGACTCGCCATACAACACTCTGTACCGAGTCTAAACATTACTAGATATTTTTATATTTCAATAAAAACATTAGCACTTTACGAATGATTACGGCTAGATAATAGAAGATATTCATCGGAACATTAGACATTACCGTTTAACAATACTTTGGCTTGGCTTGGTACCATCGACTGTCGGTTGAAATAATACAGCTGTTTTAACACGGTCTATGTACATTAACTTATAGATTGTCATTTGATATTGTTTAACGTTGAATAACAACCGTTTATATTATAATAATGATTGCATAATATAAAGGCGAAGAATGAGTGGCCTAGTTTTCTTGCCTAGAGTTCTTCAAGAAACCAGGCCTATACTTTGTTTTATGTATCGTTTTTCAAATGAACGCCAGAGCCGTCAACTTTTGGTGGATAATGAGTTTGAATTTTGATATGTAGTCTCTAGTTTTGTTTTTATACAATTTGAAAAAAGGCTATCAGCTCGACCACGATTCCACATATGCAAATCAACACGTGGCGCAAATAAAGTCGGTCGAATAATTCAGTTATTAAGTTACTTAAAGGGTTAGTGTAAAATAACGTTTCAACGCATCGCTGTTGTACTTAGCCATAGTGTTGGCAACGAGAAAATAAAAAATACATATATTATGCAGAAGGTTTAATAAACACTATAATAGTCAATCGAAGGTCAAGCCAAAATACTTGCACTATACGGTCAATTGAAGAATAGTAACAATTTAATTGTCAATACTATTGTCGGCGATTTTGATGAAACGGACATTGTGAGTATAATGAAACCATGTTGGATTGGACATATTGTGTTAGGCGAAAACGACTCAGCTGTCAGGCTATTGCCTTGAACTTAGTACCTACTTGTTATACAGTTTTATTTTGACATTCATTTTGCATTGTGACTTGCGGTGCTGAAGTGTAAGGCTTTTTCTGTCAGACCTTTATTATTGTCGATTCGATTCGAATATTCTAACACAATATTTGATAGTGTAAAATTCGGTTGTTATTATTATTTTAAAGCTTGATTAGAAGAATAAATTATTAGTACAACTCTTTTTAAGACGTCCAAACCGAGAAACGCTCATTGACGATAATATGATTCCATAACAATATGTTTTTTATTTACGGATTTTATTTACAATCTCTCGTGAAATTTTGTTAGTTTGCAACACATTTTTAAAATAACACAAGTTAAATATAAGTATAGTAAGCTACACATTAGCTATATTTTTGGTACATAATATATTCAGTAGCTTCGGCGTTTATCCAATGTGAGCTTTATATTCTTAAAATGAATAAGCTAAGTTAGGCGTTAGGTTTTTCGTTAATCAGCATCGGTAGTTACTAAACCCAAATTGCCTTTATTTTTATACCTATTATTAATTATTATCTAATTGACGTTTCCGTTGTATTGATTAATTTATTTCTGACCGACGACAGCAGCTGTGATGCGACAAGTTGGACAACTGTGTACTTACAATGTGTGCTAATGGAAACACTATAGAAGCGCGTGTTTGGCTTATTAAAAATAATTAAAAGGGAAATCTCCCGTATTTTAATTACCGAGTTCCCCCCGTTAATAAATAAAATATATGAATTTTACTCAACACAATAGAGAAAAACTATAAATATAGGTCTTTCCTCACACATACAATAATAATAATTAACGTCGGTGTACAACAACGTCTAGTTGCGCCACTGCGTACTAAGATAAAAAAAAGTGTCTTATAACAATAAAAATGAATCACTACACAAACAAAGACTAATATAGCGAAAAACCGCTCATTTTTTAATTATACGCGGACTTTAACAAAATATTTAGCCCTGGGAGATAATAATATGTCTTCACCAATTTCAAACGACAAAAGATTGCGCAAAAAATTGATTTTTCCTTTTAAAAACACTTCCAGAGTCGACTCGCGTCTTAACGGACTTACTATTTGATTATTTACTTAGCTTTAGACCCAATCACGCGTCGTTCTCAAACGCTAAGACTATTGGCAAAATGTAAGTATTTCCAATAGATTGTTCTGGTCTTATTGCTGTTAACGTCTTCGTCGCATTCTGTTTACTCAGCATTGTATTTTCGACAAAAAACAGTCTCATTCAGCCGAACAATAACAATCGAATCTCATATTGAAACTTTTACTTTTTCGGGAACAAGTCGGTGACAACAGGTTAGAAGACGGTGCCTCGTTCATTACTATAATATGGGTCTAAATGTCAGGGAACAATCTAGTATTTAGATACTGTTAAATTTGAACTATATTCTATGAATTCAAGGACGTTATGTGATAACATCGGTCAAGTCCTTTCGGTAAGACTTTGTATCAGTGGTCGAAGTGGAACGAAATACATTTTTTTTTTTTTTTAAGAGCAATATAAAATAAGTGTAATCTTATAAGCACTGTTCCTGTTTTTAAATCTCTTATGAATAATGTGGAAACGACAATCGCTATGAACTACTATGCACAATAAATGTTTTTTTTCTTTTAGAAGTTCTGAGTTACAACGGTTTTACACTGAGTTTAAAGGTTTTTTATTTCTTCCCTTTATACCTCTATAAACCATTACGCAGGATATGTTATCGGAAGGTATTTTTAAAGTTCACTACAATTAAACTGTTAAAATCCTCTCGAAATAATTCGTTTTTTTTCAATTACTTGAATTAATTACGGTATACGTCATACATTATCATGGCATTTAATTACAAAATATATCGACTAAACGTGGTTTTTGGCCATTACCTGAGCGGAGTGATGAGCCTGGGTTCTTGTTGTTGGTCTCCTTCTTCTCCTTGTTCGCCCTGGTCCATCGCCTGTTCCCTAGTAGAAGTGACCTGGTGTACTTCGACTTCTTCCCGGTCCAATCTTAAGGTCACGGACAACTCCTCCGACGTGTCGTCTCCGCCTCCGTCGCCGCCGCCCCCGCTCCTCCTACGCCGTCCGTACTGCCTGGGCCTGGAACCTTGCGGTGGCGGCGACCTCAACCTGTCGGCCAGGTCGACCGGGAACAGGGCCGTGGGTTTGGGCCGCGCTCTGAAACCGCACGCCGATACGGTTATCATGGCTGTGCTGCCCTGCGACCGCCGGCGCTCTCGTTGCTGGTCCGTCGACGGCCGCTCGTCTGTTGATGGTCCCGGTTCCCCGGGCAACCGAGGCCGCCGCTCGTCGACGTCGGGCTCGACAATCAACCCGTCAGAACTTGTATTTTGCCTGCAAACAAGTAAAAAAAAAAAAAAATTGATAATAATAAAAAACCATTACACTTAAGTGGAGACGGAGCACGGGGAGGTCACAGGTCTAAATGAGTTGTTAAAACTGAAAGCGATAGAATAACTTTCAAATAAACGTTTCAATGTATATCTGCTGCAATGAGTAATTCATTTTTTGGCCTCAGAGTGTCATTTTTATCACAGTAAAATAGCTAATAATCACAGGCATATAATATGACAACGTTAAATACAATAATCTTCGCAAGGTAGACATACTGCAGTTCTCAAACTTTATAGGTAATACAATAAGGCGACATTCGCCAGATAATTTCGTCGTTTTAATAAACAAAAATAATAACAGATGATCTTGACAGAACAATTGATTTGTATTCCAAAAATCAGAATAATACACAAACACTTTCGATACACAATAGATACGAACCAAAAAAAAAAACAGTCAATGTTAATAATTATATTTTGTCTTGTTGACCGTGAGTATTAATAAAAGAAAATATATTGTTTTCATACACCCAAACAATATCAATTAGAGATAACTGCGATGTTGTTTATTAGCAGAATAATTATTAGGCATCTCTTGTTTAATTTTAATAAAACCAGTCGCACTGTCAAGGTGCTGAGGTAAGTGAGATGTTGTTATTATTTCCACGGTGATGTGTTTGTAAAATAGGTTGAAAACCTATTGAGCACGAACATATCTTGGCGGAACGGAAAACCGATATTCTAGCTTCTGTTATACCCAGCTGTCAATCATATGTATGCAAATTGATAATTATTTTAATTGCTTATTAGCGGAACACTAGTGAAATCGGTTTGGCGGTTAATTTTGGACTAATCGCGTTGGGGTTACACAAAAGCGACACGAAAGAAAGTCGAAGACTGAGCAGTTAAGTAAAAAAATATGAAAACTATTTCACTTACACTGCGTGTAAAAAAAAACAATTTCTACTAGAGTGATTAGGGTCACCAACACTCGGATGGACCCGAGAGAGATGGCGCGTGCGTTGAGTAAACAAAAATCATCCAAAAATCAAAAAAGTTCTAAGACATAATGTCTGAAAATAAGACTGAGCACAGGTCTGGGTAGTGAGAAATTATAATATACGTTTTTTTTCAAAAATCTGAAGTCAAACTTTACTCAACAATGTTTTACAATATCATTACATTAAACGTTAGTGACATTAATAATAGTATAAAATAAATGAAATCGACAACAACTAATTTGTACGTCACTACCAAATGTTTACAAACTACAATATTGTTATCAAGTATTTGCTATTCATATCAGTTCACATAGGTAAACGCGATAAAATGCATTTGAACAACACAACATATTATTATGCGTTGCGATTTGGTTTTATTTTATTTTAATAGTTACAATACTATATGTTTAAAAAATGAAAACTAAGCGATGATGCACAATATAGAATCACAATAAATTTATAGTTGGAAAAACTAAATAAATAGACCAATCGATCGACCAAAATTTAGTTATTCCAAGTATACATTTATTGTGTCTTTATATTAAGCACAATAATTATAGTTAATCCAACTACGAAATGTTTTCTGAAAAGTTGTTAACTGTATTTGTCATACAACTTTTTATACATTTTTGAACGAGATGTGAAGTAACGTCTTTATTACATCCATTTTAGTGTTTATAATTTAAGATATTCAAACAAAACTCTAAGGACACAATTAGGTATTTATCTAAAAGCTAAGAAACCGTCTTAATCTTGATTTTGGCTTTTGATGGAAAATTAATTTGTACGTTGTTTCTTTTCAGAAAAATGTTTTATCGGACGCTGCTATAACCAAACAATAATAATAATTAAAATATCAATAAAGATTCACATAAGCGGTTTTTCAATAAATATAATAAGTATACACTCTGTGAGTCTAACTTTAAGTTTCTATTTAAAATAGAAACTTACACTTCAGCAAAATGATTAAGCTCAGATAAAATAGCTGGTATTCTCATGAGCCCAGTTGTAACTATTGTGGTTTTAGGTAAGTATCATATAGGGTGCAATAGTTATCAAACAATACAAATGTAGGTTGTAGTTTATTCGGAACGTTTTAGTGGCAGTTCCAATATGATTGATCAGGAAATCATTATTATGGCAAAATTGTGGATTCTAACCTTCTCGCGGTAACCTTTATGTGTGTATAATGGAAATTAGTCGTCCGCCAATTTCAACCTATTTTTTAGCACACAATCAACATTTTGTACACTGTACCTAATCGTTGCGGCCGTTTTAAAATCATACTGTTAAGATCCATACCATAACCGTATTGTATACCATAAGGTACCGTGACAAACTACAGGCATCAACTGTGATAAATTTATTATGCATTCGGATTAACTAAAATGGTGCGCTCAGGCTCAATGTGAACTAATATTGTTCTTAACAACAAGAGGTCCTATAAAATATGAACTGACAGGCCTGACGGTTTGCTTGCATCTAATTGGATTAATTTTAATTTCAGTAATTTTTTTTTTTTTCCAATTCACATCTCTTTCAAGCTCTCTGTTAGACTACTCATTATCTGAGGTAGCCGTAATTTGTCTGTTAGGGTAAACACTATTGTGGGCAGATAGCTGTTAAGTTCGGATTTCAATGTATCTCTATGGAGCTTCTGCACTTCCATCACCATGTGGTTCAACAGATTATTGTCCCACGTGGATCTTCTCCGTCTAACATTGACCTGGCTGCTATCATTGATTTCTGCACACGTTTGAAGTTTACCAGAGCGATTCCGAGTCCTGGGAACAAATTCCACGCGAGGACTTGAAATGTCCATGGTATGACAAATATTATAAATTAACGCATTGTTTGTGATCAATAGAACATCTATAATGTGAAAAACAAATTTTACCCACTAATATGATATTGTGGCGACATCATTTATCAGATGACACCGCCGCCGCGACGTCTTATCTACCATATTATAATTATTTAAGTCAGAATTAAAAGCACTTGTGTGATGTGTCGTGTAATCGAGGCTAGCTGATAATGATTTATCAGTAATTATAGTTTTCAAATCGCATGATTATGATGTATAATAATTTGGTTATGCTTTTATCGGTCTTCATAGTTGTTCTTTATCGAACGCCATTCACCTTTTTTTTTTTTCATTCTAACCTATGCTACAACTCTGCCAAACGAACGGAGTACATATTTTATTAGAGTAAAACATTAAACGACTAATTCTCTAATCGCAATTTAGATAACACCAAACATCTTATCGTTGTATTTAATTATACCTATTTATTCGTAATACATAAAATACAAATTTCAAGTGAGATCGACGTTTATTATTACGCGCGTGTGTGTCAAATAACACTTGGGTTAAATTAAACAATTTAATTAATTTTCTATTAAAGAAAGCCGTCAGGTGGATCGTAGCTGTAGAATTTTGCGTTATCTTATTTCACGTGGCTGTTGTGGCTCACCTTGTCTGCGGATAACTGTTTAGTTTTAGTTTTTAACGATCGAACTTAGGAAATATCGAGTTTGAAAATATTAGGCTTCTTATCACTAAACTCTTATCAACATCTGTAATCAGCTTTTTCTTATCGCGGACGAACAAACACAGATATCAGAATAACAGCTTCTACAGTGTTAAGATTTCGGGCAAAATAGTAAAGAATACGTTATATTATTAATAAAACGAGATACCTAACGTTTTATGTGTACTGATTTTGTTTTATGGCTCAGTCACCGCACGTTTTTGGCATTTTGTCCTGACCAACTGCGGTTTGACGATGATCATGTGACTTTGACGAAGCATCCCGCAATGGACTATAACGCAGATCGTGCGGACAGTAGTAAATGATAACGTGGCGAATCACGCCAAGCATGGCCACAATAAAGTCACGCTATTGAATTCGATTTAGGTGACCCAGCTATACACTATTATTACTGGTAATAATATACAATCAATGGCCTATGCGGGAACGAATATCGGGCAGACCGACAGTAGAGATTTATAAAACATTACTCTGCAAGTTAATTTAAAAAAAAAATTATAGGAACAGATTTTGTTGATTGGACTTTTATAAATAAAAACTTCACATGGTCGTTTTTTTAAAATGTGTTTTAACGTCATAACTTTTTAAAGACAAACTTATTAACATGTTATTTTTCAAAGAAAATATATAGTATCGCTAACCTAACACTAGCGATGACAGAAAGTGTTGATTAAAAATATTTTAGAAATTATATGCAAACAAATCTGTTTTACTGAGATATTTTAAATACGCGTTCAGTACTGAATTGTAAGTCTCATCTACAAAGTCTGATTTTATAGTTAACTTCGCAATCCCTGAGAAATAACAGTTTTTGATTGACACTTACTTTATCATTTGGCGCTCTTCCTCGACAAGTTCTGAATGTAGAGGTTGCCGGTCATCATTACTGAGCATGGACAGCCTAACCAAGTTCAAATAGAGTAGCAACAAATTGGCAGCAAGATAATCGGTTTGCACGTCTCCCTCGGGAGCTCCCTGCGGTTGTTCTAGAAGATCTTCGGCCGCCATGAAAAGCCAAGGTTGAAAACGATCTTCGGGTTCGTCGTCTGCGGACGTGACATTACCGCCACCACGGTAACGGTAATCGCCGGTATCCATACTCAGGCACGGCACGGTTCTGGAACATAATGATGAAACGCAAATTAAATTTATATAACTTTTAAGAAGATATCATAATATTATGCTTCATACAGGTGTGTAGATTACAGTAGGGTAGATGTGAGTACTTTTTATTTTGTAGGAAAAACAAGCCTTTTTTATTTAATTGTGATTTACAACTAACACTTTTTGGTTATTTTTTGTAAAACTACATTTACATTTGTCCTATTCGCTTGGAATTACTCCACTTGACCATTTATGATACATATATCGTGCGTGTACAACAAACATAGTCAAAACTATATATTATCATAATAATGTATGCACGACCTTAGCCCTTGCAGTGGTATGAATAATTAGAAATTCAAATCAGCAGCTGTGCACAAAATATGGTGGACAATGGTCGTGTAATCCAAAAGGGAAGTCGAGAGTCAATTTTAAAATTCGCCACTAGTACGTCGTATATCATTAAAAAAAGTAAAATAGGTAACAATATTAGTTATTAGAATACACCTGTGAATATTATATTAGTCGGTAGATAATAAAGAAAACCCGGACTCATATTCTTATAGTTGTCTGAAAAATAATGTTGTATACGTTGCATATTATTTTGCTTAGGTACAAACTGTAATAGTTTATCGTCGACAAACAAACGACAGTGAAATCAAAATAATTGTGTGTTTTTTTTTACGACATGTTTGCTATAAAGATCACAATAACAGGTTCTCAATTTCCATGAATATATTTTTTAAACATACTTGCAATATACTTGTACAACTTGATATAATGCGATACTCGATGATAACACTTAACAATTATTATTAATGTTACCGGTTACAGTGTCCAATGGCCAAAAGTCTAAGAATATTATAGTGTTTAAGGAAGCTCACGTTCGCAGGATATTTCTTGAAAAATACTCAATATGAAACAATATCTCACGAATAAAAAAACGCGGTAAATATAACATGCATACGGTTTACCGAACTCTATTGCTCTTCTTCCAAGGGCGTTCGAGAATAAGTCCAATTATTTATTTACCTATAAAAAAAAAATACCGTCTCGGCCGACTACCGTGCATTCGATTTTTATCTACACGGTTAATTATTTTTTGGTCACGACCGTGTTGTTTTTTTTTTTTGGTTTGACAACCTTCTGACCGGTTGTGTACAGAGTGTTTGGACGCGATGAGTCACCGCCATGCGTAATAAGAAAAAAAAATACGACCTAAGATCACTGTCAGCCACTAATAACTTCTTAAAACACACACACAGGCGTATGACATTAGTTATCAAACAGCGCTGTTCAATTGTATGTACATATATTTTACCGTGTGAGTGTATCCACTCCTACATTATGCGCCAGTGCTTGCCCTCCTCCGTTAGTTATTATTCGATTCACTGAATGTCTATAATCCGCCTCTTAGGAAAAGAAAAAAAAAATCTTACCTTACCTTACGGGCCGTGATCGCCGCCGTGTCGGCGTCAACGGCCAAGAGGAACCTACGCATCCTTTAATGTCATGAAAAAAACAATAATTATACTTTATTATTTACACATAATAAACGCATATACACACTTCAAGAGACGTCCACACTACACTCGTTATGGTATCTGTCAATCTTTAATGTCATATACCGTACGGTGGTAACGATAAGAGTTTCTTAACTTGAGAGTTTCAAGAGTCAAGGGTTTGTGTAAAAAATAATACCATGTGTAAGTGTAGACACGACGAGCGCCGTTTGGATAATTAAAACGAAAACCATATTTTCTTAAGAGTCAATTTATCGACCGGTATATTATTAGACTAACGCCATACGACTGGCATAGACCTGGCTGTGTAATTATTATTATAAACGCTCGGTGGATAAAGTATAATGTAAATTTGAAGTGGTTTATACAGAGTAGAATTTATAACAATGATGAGGATGAATCTCCGCAGGCGTCCATTGTGATGTTATTATCTGAACGTATCATATTATAATATGTATTTTTAGTATGAAAACAATGTAACCGTTTAAACGTTTATCAATGATGTTATCGATTTGAAAAGTTAGAAAAGTTGCAACAAGTTGAATGTTCTTAAAACAATGGTTGGGTCGGTAATTATTATAATTTGTCTTAAAAATTGAGCAAATCTCACTAATATTTCTCTTCTACTCCTATTGGAAAAGATGTAGTCATGACTTGCTTAAACTATAGGGTTTAACTTATTTACTGGTCGAGTTCCGACTATAAAAGCAAGTCTGTAACAGCTTCAAAGTCATTGGCTAGTACCGTTTATTTATTCCAGTGGAAATATTAAAACTGACAAATTTTATCATCCGGAAACTCGTATTGCAATAATAATAAAAATTATTGACAGTAATAACGGTAAAAATTTGTTTTTAGAAACATTTTTAACGCGGCACGTGGCAAGTTCATCATGTTTGAACATTTCTTAGAAACAGTTTAAATAACTTTTAACAAACCAAAAAAGCTATTTAGTTTATTATGTTGTGTGGTTTTTAATTTGATAAAAATTAACATTGATTACAAAAATGTAAGCAATTGTTTACACTTTTAGGTCATTGGTAACAGTTAGATGCGAAGAATCAATTTCAATAAGAAAAATAAACAATTTAAGCAACCTAACCGTGTTGGTTTAAGATAAAATGTCACACAACTAGCTTGATCATTTTTGGATCCGTCCATGATCCAAAAACGATCCTGCTAATAGTTCAACCCATGAAAGTTTCAACACAATCAAGTCACACAATGTATATTGTATGTAAACGGATATTCAGCGCATCGACTTACTTTAATTATAGTGTATAATATTATGAAAAATAATCTATTATAATATTACTAATAAAAAAAAAAGGAATTTAATACACTTAATGACCCAACGTCGTCTGGTGATATTTTGTAAGGTCTTAAAAGTGCTTTTGTTTGTTACAACATTAACGTTATCGTCATGTTTGTGATTCACAGATAAAATTTACTTAAGGCCATTTCGTGTAAACTATGAGTAATTACGATAGTATTTAGCTCCTTGTTGGCACACTCACACGATACATTAGGGTGCAAGATGTACAACTATCACAACAGGCACTGACGGAATTGTAAAAAGAGAAATTTCGGTTTTTACGACCGTTTATGACGTGTTGGGGCTTCGAAAAAAAGCGACTTAACAAGAAACACGGATGTAGTTTTACTTACCCGGTTCGACGATCAACCCAAGATTAGATTAACTCCACACAAATCCTATTCGAGAGCTGCGTTTGTCATTGAAATTGACGGGCTACCCTAATATTTTGTCTTTTGGTCACTGTCTTTTCGAAACGGACCCTTAGACTGACGAGGGCCTTGAGAAATTATAATTCGTTTTCCTTGGTGACCGAGTGGTTCTTTAAAATGAACTTTGTCAGATGGAAAACGTTCACTGGTTAAACTAATAAAAATATTTGGTTCGACACTTTTAGTGTTAATACTGACACTCAGTCATTACTAGATGTTTGTGTACTTACAGTTGGTTCTGAGACGGAATTACTAGTAGTATTAATTATACCGGGGTCATCAATTATTGATTTATCATTCGATACTCTTCTAATTTAGAACAGAGCAATTATTATTGTCGTCTTGGAATGTGTAAATTTGTTTATGCGTCATGTGATTAATTTTAAACTGTAGTCTTTCAAAAACTACACAATCGATACGCTATCTGTAATAACTCAATAATATTTACTCTGCTAAATAAATAAGGTACATAAGTACCTTATTACCATATATGTATATGTAAGATATTATCACACATCTATGCGATGTTATATATTTTATTTATCAAAAAAAATGACTTTTTGAGTTTGATCGCAAATTCGACACTCTGCAATCTAATTTTTAATGGCATTATTTAAATTTTTCCACCAGAATAGATTAATTCTTTCCGTCATCTTTGATCTAACTACCCCTTCATGATCTGAACTGTCCCTTCCACTTCTTTAAATTGTGCTACTACTTCCTACATTCCTACGACTCGCGTACAAAATCACTAGTTGAGATAATATTATTATAACTTGAATGTGAATTTTATCTATGCGAATCAATTTGAAAGCAGTTTAAACATTTTACACGCATGGTTAACGGGCGGCGAGGTGGTAATCGATTATAACTGTGTCATATTATGCGTAAAAAAAACCAGGACGAGACCAGAGTAAAAAAATAGTTTACACGTCTTAAAACCGTCTGAACCAAAACGATTTTCACCATTTTGCGTTTCGCACGAGTAAACCTTCAGCAATCTATGTGTACTTACAACCGGACTGAACGGGGCAATCATCCAAAAACAATTTCGCTGTAATACCGCCTATTATTTTACATTACTAGAAACACTATACAATATAATATTATTATGATATTCGATTCGTGCGCACCTACATATTGTAGGTATTTTTTTTTTCCTTTCAATTATTCAGCGTTGACGGATAGAGTATTGTGGGCATTGTGCGAAGGTGGCGAATCAGGTCAAGGTGTGGGATGAGCGAAAAACAGGGTGAAATAATATCTATTACCAAGAAAACGCTTTTAAAAAAAAAAATTACTAAATGTTATTAGGTAAAATACAAGTTTAACGCTACCGATAAAAAATGATAATTGCATTTTTGTAGGCCATTTTGTTTTTAATTTTTTTCCTAAATATATCAGAAAAATTTCAGTTTTTATTTTAATAGCAAGTAGGTCAACTGGTACAAAATGATTACAATTAATCATAAAATAACGGACAACTCAGAATACACGTTGTGAACACCGAACCAAGCTACTTGAAAACATTAGTAAACGATCCACTCGAACATGACTTATCGTTTGTGGACGCCTTAAGCTATTAATACATATTAGAGTAACAATATTGCCCAATTATATGGCTAAAATTATATTGCAATTGAAGTAGGTTTAATTTAATCTCTCGCGGTTGTTAAAAAACAAAATGTTATTGTTAAATGTAATGAAAATAATAATATTAATAATAATTTTGTTATTACAGCGT